GGGTTTGGGGTTTAGGGTCTACCCTATACCAACAAGGGGAGCCCTTTTTGTTCCTAGGTTTCTGAGATCCTAGGCCCATTGTCGGTATACCAAGAAAGGGAGCCCTTTTTGTTCCTAGGTTACTGAGATCCCAGTCCTGTTCTCGGTGTTGGCTCTTTTTGGTCCTGGATGTCCGAAGTTGTTCCGGCATAGATCTCCTTGATGATGAAGGAGGTGCTGATGGTGATATGGGGCCGGTAATGGCACAATGCTCGGAGCTTCTGCATGCAGGGAGTTATTGTAGTTGATGGTGTTCCTAATCTTCTTGCTAGTAGGGTCGTCACTCTTGCATTCACATCTGCTGCAAGTGGTGCATCGCTGCCCAGAGAGCCCCTCGAACCCTGAAAAAAAAGCCCTCTTGTTATTAAAAGTCCGGAAGTGCCGGAGGATCTCACTTCCTAACTACAACTTCAACCAAAACCTAGCAGAAGACGAAACTTTGAGCCCAGAACCCGGAAACCTGAAGGATGCCTTCAAGGCTCGTCACAAAACCAAACTTTCCGCAAACACCGAAGCATCCTCATATGGTTTGGGTTTAGGGCTAAACCTTGCCTGATTTGGGGATCAATGGTCCTCTGGGGCCCAATTCCAGAATGGTAGGGATTAGGGTTTAGGGGTTTTGGGGTTGGGGGTTTAGGAGGCATGTCAGTTAGTATTCTTTTTCAACCCGTCTGGAACCATCAAAATCCCGAGCCTAAACCCTAAACCCCAAACATTAAGCCCCTAGCGCGGGAGCTTGCCCACACAATGTGGGCTGCGGAGTCCAAAGTCCATAGGACAGCTCTGTGGGCCGAACAGCTTTCGATCCCAAGTAAAGCCCTAAACCCTAAACCTGAGTAAAGCCCCGAGCCCTAAACCCTAAACGGACCCCCTAAACCCTAGGAAAGAGGTCCCTCAAAGGTTTAACCCTTTAAGAGGTGGAAATGAAGGCTTGAGGGTTTCTAGGGTTTAGGTTTTGATAAAAAAAGACGCCAGCCCGCTCGAAAACTTGCAGCAGAGCCCCCCTCAGGTCTGCTGGGACGATGCCACGGTCTTCTATGAGCTCTCCGTGGAGCTGCGGGAGGATGTTGACACTGGGCTCCTTCATGCTTTCGAGTTTCAAGATCTACCTTAAGCATCCTTAAGCTACCAGAAACCTCCTTTCTTTTGGCAGGTTCTTATTACATACCTTAACCTGGGGGTTTTCTAGGGACAATACAAATAGTAGATGTTCGGGTAGGCTATGGTAAGGATTGTAGGGTTTATCGGTTCAGGGTTAAGGGGGAGAGAGGGCTCAACAGGAAATAGGATGACCCTAAACCCTAAACCCCTAAAACCCTAAACCCTAAACAGGATGGCATCCTCGGGTTATAGGCTAGAGGCGTAGCTCTCTGAAGCGCGGCAGCTGCATCCTTTCAGGGCCCTCAGAGACTTTCAAAAGGCCTTACTTAGGCACTGAAACCATAAATGGCAGAAAGATTCTTCTCATGAGCTAAACCTTGATTTAAGGCCTTTTCTTTACTTAAACACCAATAATTAAAAGGAAGTTTCTTATTACGAGTTTAGAAGTAATCCTTCCTTAGCCATAGACCTGAAAATCAAAATAGAGTGATGAAACAGGATCTGGTTTGGGGTTTGGCGTTTAGGGTTTAGGGCAGGTCTGCAAAAATCCGCTCGAACCCTCATGTATGTGCTGTCTGAAGCTGGCTGCGGCTTCAAATCCTGCTGCAACCCCGAAAACGCTCTTGTCTTTTGGGGTTTTAGGGTTTTAGGGTTTAGGGTTTTGCCAGATTCAGAGGGCCCCGAAATCCACCCCCCACCCCCTGTCCAACGCGAATGTTCCTCAAATCACGAGGTGCCCCAGGTACCTTGTCGAATGTGCCTAAACTAACGTCAGGATAAGCATAGACCGTAGACCCCAAACATAGTCAGCTGGGCGGGTGGGAAAATCCTCGAACCGTAAGCTCTGCGTCTGCTTTCACGAGATCCCATTTAGCTCTACAAACGGGTTTCGAGTTTCGAACCAAAGACTTCGAGATTTCAGGCGACCTTCCTGATCCATCCTGTGCTTCCACGGAATCTCATCTTCCGTGGGGTGCCGCGGCTTTGTCGATGCGGGAAGCTAGCGTTCCTGGTGGGGGGGTTCTCTTGATCAGGTGACGCCACGTTCTGGGAGTCCAAAAAGGACACTAAAAGAGAATAGCGATACTGCAACGCACCTATTGAGAACAGAGGGAAGCACGTTTTCCACGAATTAGCCTTAGATGTAGGTTTCCTGATCTACACACACAAAGGACTTATAGGGACGCCTATACTACGGTAGCCCTACTCGTAACCCGGATTGCCATGCCCTAAGGCCCTCGGCAAGCCCTAAACCGCTCTTCCGGAGAGGTGCCAACCAGTGCCATGATACGCCTCGTTGGTATACTGCAACAGGCCGGGATCTGAACTATTTCGCTCGAAGCCTGGGTCCCCATCCCGTCAACTCCACAACACGATCATGCCCTGTCAGTCTCCAAGGGTACCTCAACGTATTCTAGGGTTTAGGGTTGAGGGTTTATGTCCAGACGCCCTCGCTGCTAACCGCTTTCATGACTCTGGTCAAACTGTGTGTGTTGGGGCTTCAGGGCCATACAACATGGGAGTTAGGGTTTGGGGTTTAGGGACTTATAGGGCTCGGGGGTTAGATTCGAGTTTAGGGGCTCAGGACCAGGAATCGGCTTCCTGACTGTGGGAAGCTTTACAGCGGAAGCTTTTCCACAGGGAGAGACTGCTATAACGAAACAGAAACGACAAGACCGAACCTTAGAAAGGGAAAGACTCAAAATTGAGAGTTTCCAAGTCCTGGAGCCCAGCAGATCATAGGGGTCCAAAATATTTTCAATTTGGATTTACGAATTCAATAACGACTTAAAAAGTATCTTTTAAAAGAGATATAAAAATGCACCCAATTTAGGCAACAAAAAATGCCCGACAGACAAGACACAGTCAACGCATCCAGTGCAAGTGCTGGAATGTCAATAAAGAAGCGAAAACAAGCTAACTATAAACTTGGTTTCTGCCTCCACTCGTAAAAGTCTTGTAAATGTACCAATCAGAGATTTATGTTTTTTGTCTGGAAACTAATGACCAGGACTGGCACGGTCCCGGCTGTCTGGCCTGCTCTCGTATTTGTTTCGTACTTTTTCGTATTTTTCGTAAGCCCTCCACAAGTACCAAACCGCAGGTTTGGCCGGCCGCTTCGTATGGTTCTTTTGTATTTTCTTTATGTAGATTCTCGAGTATTTTTCGAAAAGAATACAAAAAAAACAAACCACTTGTTTGTTTTGTTTGTATTTTTGTGTAATGTTTCGTAAATGAAAAACAAGGACTTTGGCTTCGTTTATGTCTTTTGGATTTTTTTCGAAAATATTTCGACAACTAATGTATTTTCCGTCATGTGGCGGCCTCCAGAGGCAGACACTCTCAAGACTAAAATTCCCATGGCGTAGGCTACGTAAGACCAATGCTGGATTCCTGACAGTAGCTTACAAATAGGGAACCCCGATCAGGGATTTTGATGCGCATAATTCGCAAGACTTCTAAATCCTGAGATTGGGAATTTCTTCAGGCCAAGACTCCATATGATAAGTGCCCCATTATTCAGGGTATTTTATTGGCAATGCTTGACTTCCTGACACTCACATGTCGACAGGTGACGGCCAAGAAGCGCGAGCGCATCGTCCCGTCAGACAAGTTCGTCATGGGGATGTTCCTCATCCTCGCCCTTTGGCCGTTAGAAACCCAAACCCTAAACCCCTTAACTCATTACCCTACCAAAGCCGAGTGCCCACAGCCCTATCCTCCTCCGCACCTGTCCTTTCAAGTCCAATGTCATCCCCCCGCCCCCTAGAAAAGGAAGGCCCTTGGATGTGTGTTTCTAGAGGTCTATAGTACTTGAAGCTGATCCTCTTCCGACAACGCGTTGGAACCCCATGAACGTCCATACCGTCAAACCTTTGAGGCTACTCCTAAACATACACCCAGATAGCTCTTGCATGCCGCCTGCATGCTGCCCCACGGCCAACCACGAGCATCAAGTCTCCACCGCCCCGAAACCAGAATAAAGAGCAGAAGTCAACTCCAAAATCCTGCACCGTAAATCTTGCAACATAGGCCCAAGCCCTATAAACCCTAACCCCTAAACCGTGTAAGCCCGAAGCCCTTAGGCCCTCAGCCCTAAACACAGGACGGCGGTGCTGTGTTTGAGAAGGAGCTCGAGGACATCGTCGCCGAAGGTTCAGAGGCTTCTGGGTGAAAATTCACGGTGTTTTTCGTTCCGTCTTAGGGTTCGGGGTGTTGAGGGTTTGTGGGGTTTAGCGTGTAGGGGTTTAGGGTTTAGGGCTTTAGGGTTCGGGGTGTTAGTGTGCAGGGTGTTTGGATTTAAGGTCTCGAGTATGAGGTTGATGGCTGAGGGCTTCAGAACCTATGGCTGGGCTGGGCGCTCGGATGCCATCTGTCGTACATCAGCGCTCCAGGATAGGCTATAGTGATCGGAATAGTTAAGAGTATGTCGCACTATGCCACAAAAATCCGGTTCCTATTATTCAGGCCCCCTTTCTGGATGCCAGCTGGAGCTTGGCCCAAAGAGAGCTCCGAACTGACAGGCTTGAGGGTGCAAGGGGTTGAGGTTAAGAGCAAGTTCAGGGTTTAGGGGCTTGTCGTGTTTGGATAGCGCTAGTCCTAGTCTACAGGACTCGATTCATTGAGATCCAACCTAAACTGCAGTGACGGAAGAAGGCCTGAAAAAACAAATTGTGTCCGAGTGTGAGCACCAAGAGCCCCGAACCCTAGAACTGTAAACCTCAGAACATCTCAGAACCCTAGACCCTAGAACCCTGAGCCCTAAACTCTAGCTCGATGACAGGGCCGCAAGAAGTTGACGGAGCTTCTCCGAAACGGTGACAGCTCTCGGGCGGATTTGGGTTGTTACTGTTTGTTGCGGCCTCTGCAAGGGTTCATGGAGCTTCCCCAACTACAGGTTCTATATGCTTAATAGATGAATGAGTACACTTTAAACTTTTGGGGATATTATGACCCCTTATAGAACTGAAAGTGTACACTTTTTCTGTGCTTATGAACTCAGCAACTGGGTATATGAATTCTACGAGGGCTTGCGGCTTGGAGGGTTCAGGGGTTTATGGGTTTAGGGTAGCCGGTTCCGGCGCGAAGGCCCTTTCAAGGATAGAAAGAGCCTTGGAAGCACGCAGGGCGCCTATGTGGTACTTTGGATACAGCGTCCCGATGCAAATAATTGAACTTTGTTGGGGCCTGGTTACTCCCTAAACCCTATATCTTTATGCTCTATATAAACCCTAAACTCTTTATATTGATTTACCCTATATGAAGCCAGAGCCCTGCAATCCCAGTTCGGGAAGGCAAAGCGCCGCGCTTTGCGTCGGAAACGTTTAGAGTCCTTTTCGCGACATGCGCTGCTCTCGCGAAGTGCCGGTTTCGAGCGACAGGGTTTAGGTTTAAGGGTTCGTGGCTTCGGTTGTTTGGTGTCAGGGTTTGAGGTTTCGCGTTTGGGGTTGGGGGTCAAGGTTGTGAAGCTGAAGCGTCATATGGGAGTTTCTGAAAATTAGGGGTACACCACTTTGGGGTCCTTTATAATAAGGATCCTACTATTTAGGGTACTATATTGGGGTCCCATATTTTCGGAAACCCCCATATGTTCAAGTGAAGGCAGCCTCAACGCTCCGTGGTTCGTAAAAGAGCCCTGCACCCCCCTAGAACCCCCTGGTTTCAGACACCTGGACCCTCAACGAGACCCTCTGCCCTAGACCCTAAACCCTAAACCCAAGCCATTGTTGCAGATTCAACCCCCGAAAGCGGCTGACAGAAGCTCTTGAGGTTTCGGCGAAGAAGTACTGCTTGGTCTCAAGAACGAGCAGACTTGGCCGCAGAAATCCTGAAGGGGGGGGAAAGGGTTCAGAATGGTTCTGTTTCACATGTAGTCATTTAAGAAGCCTCCCTCCAAAGCTAGAGTAGCTCCTGGGGTGGTCGGGGAAAATTTCGGGGTCCGATGATAAAGAACTGAAACAGCACCCAAAACCTGTTGAAACTTATTCAGGCCTCGATATAGGAGACTTCAGAGCCGGAGCCTCATTCCTTCACCCTCTACATAGACTCCTTCCCCGAATTTCACCCCACCTCTGTAGAACTTACAGCTTCCGGGGCCAAGGCCATAGGCTCTACGACTAGAGACTTTGTGTAGGGTTCAGGGACATACTTCTCAAGCCCAGAGGCTCGAAAGTTCCGAGCCCGTTAAGATGAAGATCACAGAACTGAAAGTTGCGCCTTACAATGTGTCGGTATGCATCTTGATGCTAGCCCTATCCTAACCCCAACGCGAACCTTTGACCCAATTCTCGCATCCCCGAGGCCGCACGTGCACTCGGGGCGGAGTTCGGGTTTGGGTTGAGGTTGTCACTTCCCTTCGACCTTCACCCGGTAATCCCTCAGAGGAAACACATGACTCTTGCAAGCTCAGGTATGAGTACACCGTGACTGCCTCGCGCAAACTCGTCCTGCTCTTTGTGCCAAGAGATCGTTTCATCGACACTGGTCTCAACGGTTCGCTTGGGTTCCTGTTTCCGCAATTATTGAACCGTAGATCTAAGCCCTAAATCCCAGAACATAAACCCTGAACTCCTCGTACCTATGAACCTCGCCTGGCATGTCCGAATTGTGAGAGCCTAAACCCTGAACTCCTGTATATACCTGAAAAAACTGAAAAACCCTGCAGTATCCCTTGTAGAACCGATATAGTAAGCCTAAACCTTTCCGAGAGTGCATACCGAAATTGCCTGCAGAAATTGAAAAACCCTAACATGGAAGCTGCAAAAAACCCTTCTTGTTCCGGAGCGAAGCAGGGGTAGACAGAGCTTGAGGACCTTCGGCAAAAGGCAGCAGCCCACTGGTCCAATAGTAGATCAAATGTCGGGAAGTTTGGGATTAACCCTAAACCCTTAAACCCTAAACCCCAAACGATTCTGAGGTGCAGACAAGCATCAGACCAAGGGTCGTGAGTTGTTGCATTATGGATGTTGGAGCTTTTCGGCTCTATGCAGTAGACCCCAGACTGAAAAAACAGAACCATCGACAGGGCACTTTGTAGTGCTAGGCTCGGAAATTCCAACCCCCGAGGCCCATGCCCTGTTTGTAGGGTAGAAAGTCCGCTGCAGAAGCCGAGAGACCCTTGCAGGCCATCAAACTCTACGCAAGCTTCCAAAGACGTGGAACCAAAATCCTGTAAACGCAAGGAGCGGCTGGCGAACATGCCGGAAGTCTTCGGCATCATGCGGGCAAACTTCGTTGGCTGAGTCTTTCGAGACCGAAAGTATGGCGGCACGGAAGAGCTACGGGGAGTTACTGTAAGGGTTTAGGGAGTTATGGGCTTATAGGGTTTAGGGAGTTATGGATCTAGGGTTTCGGGGGCAATAGGTCACACGCAAGGGTTTGGGCTTGGGAGTACGGTCGAGCGGAAGCTATGGTGAACTGTTACATGCGCACGCACGGAAGACATGGTTACTTTGCAACACAAGGCTGTAGTTCCCTAAACCCTAAACCCTATTCAGAGTGTGGCAACTTGACTCGATGTTTCTGTAGCCACTGTAGCCCCGGGCCCATCTTCTGAGACACTTACCCGGGTCTACATAGACCGTCTCAAGCCCCAAAGCCCTAAACTAAACCCGTGAAACGAAAGACTTCAAAGCAAAGCTAGGGTATAGCCGTTTTCGTTCGAGCAAAGGAAAACCTAGGGTTCGGACAACCGGGGCCCAAAGCAAGCACACAACAATGCAGGGTCCCATAGTTTGAGGGCATGGGGGGCCCCTATATAAGGGGTGTTCCCAGAGAGCCTCAATAGCAAGAGCTCAACGTTTCTCATGCCTTGCGGCCGCTGGAATTCAAGTCCGCCCCCATTTGGGAAGTGGAGTGAGTGCAGTTTTAAATGCTTCGATGTAGACCGGCAGTTCTCTTTTTAAGCATAGGCAGGTACGAGTTTAGGGTTTAGGGCGTAGGCAGGTATCTTCCGACTTGAAAACCTAAACACTCTGAACCCAAACCACTCAACCCAAGAAGCCCCAGAGCCCTTTGAACCCTAACTTCCGCCTTCCTATGGAGGCTAGAAACACCAGGTCGTGGGTCTTGCAATCCCAGGGATTCCAGGGATTCGAGGCTCTTTGCTTTTGAGCCTAGAGCTGAGGGTGTTAAGGGGGCCCCTGAACCCCTAGGCCCTTAAAGCTTCCACCCTAATACACCCTAAACCCTAAAACCTTAAAGCCTTGTGATTCAGGCTTTGAACCTGGCGGGTGCCTGGTCTGGTTCAGGGTTATACCGCCGATGGGCAGAACGTGGAGACTACTACAACGAAGAGTATATGATACAGAAAGCCGCAACCTATCCGTAGGGGTTTCATTTTCTCATGTCTACAGACCCCCTCATGCACCCAAACCTAGCCTTATAAACCTTGCAACCCAATTGTTGGGGGGTTTGATGTCACGACGAGACGGCGATCTTGAGAAGTGCCGATAGAGGTGCGATTCCAAACGCACATTTCTTGAAATCCCTGCCACATCCTGGGTTCACCTCGCGGAGACCCACGCTCCGGTCTTCCGATATATGGATGCCTTGATTGAAGAAGACCCAATGGTTCCAGGTTACAAGTTGTGTCCCGGGGTTTAGGGTTTAGGATTCGGGCTGTGTTTCGTTGAACCCTGCCGACCGAGCCCACACTGGCATTCGGCTCCATTCGAGGGGATCGCCTTTTTTTGTGTAAGTCTGTTGAGACGCTATGTTGGATCCAGTAACCTGTTGAATGCTTAAGGAATCGCGCAGTGCAGGTAGGGCACAGAATGATGGGTTCATAGTAGCTTCCAAAAAGGTTTGTGATAGCGCGACACTCGCATGCCCGTGCGAACCGTCATGGCCTACGTTTGCCTTTTATTTCCGCCTTGTTGTTTGGTAGTTGCTTCTCGTGGCTGGAGGTTTGATGTCAATTCTTCACTGTTGTTCAGCAGATAGTATTTGCTGATGTTTTTAGTGTCCCAAATTTGGCTTTTTTGGTGAGCATGTCTTTCCCTGAAGCCGGATCAGATGCACCCCAAGCATTCCCCAAACCCTCGGAGGTGTGGAGCGACCGACTCCAGGGACAATCGCCGCAACACCTTACCCATAGGAACTAAGTTCCCTAGAAGTCCATATTTAGAATCCTATAAGGTAAGCCCAAAAAGGAACTACTAAGTTACTAAGAAGCCTATGGGTAGAATTGAGGTTTAGCGGCTTCGGGTTTCAGGGTTAGGGTTGAGGTAAGGTAAATCTCTGAATCTTGAACCCTTCGACGCATGCTCCCGTGAGAGAGCCGATGATTACGCCCTGTTTTGCTGCATGCCTCTGCAGATACAGGAGAGATGGGTAGATAGGCTGATAGATAGGTGCGCACATACACATACATACATACATACATACATACATACATACATACACATACATATACAGTTACACACACATATATATATATATACACATACACATACACATACACATACACATACACATACACATACACATACGTACATACATGCATACATGCATTACACATGCAGACATGTCTACACATAGATGGATAGACACAGGCACGGGGAGAGAAAGAGCGAGTCTTGAGAAAGAGCATCTCTGTTTTTTTACATGTTTGAAGCTCAAACAAGCGGCGAATCCTGAAATCTACTCCTCAGTCGACCGGCCCGGGTCCCCGCGAAAGGCCCGAAGATCTCCGAAGGAGACGTTCATAGCAATTGCCACCTGTGCTTCTTGTGGTCTTCACATGAGGATTCCTGGGCAGCTAGGCATTGGGGGGGGAGCAGTAAATCTTGTTTTTGAGGGCTTACAGTCGGCCTGAGGCCTGACCCTTAACCCTGAGTACTTGTGCCCATGATCCTTCAAGCAGTCGTGAACCGTGTGCATGGTGCAGCATCGGCTGAGCTTGAGGATTCGGACAAGGACTTCAAACCCCAAAGCAGAGAAATTTGTTTATAGGGTTCTAGGTTGAAGTCAGGGTCTTAGTAGTGGGCCCATGGCTGCACCGATGCCGTAGGAAAAATGCAACGGAATAGGAGGAACAACGCGCGAGACCGACTCAGGCAGCGAGTAGTAAAATGTCGGGGGTCTTTGCCACAAGGAACCTGTTATTAGGTGTTTATGTCCTCTGGGTCATATACCTTAGAGGACCCCTAGAAACGACTTTGTAACACCCTGTAGGAGTCTTCTGAAGAACCCTTCCAAGAGACCCTGCAAAAAGACCCCAGAAAGCCCTTTAGGAACCCTTTCTTCCTTCTCCGAAACTCCCACATGTGAACTTCGGGAGAACAGGGAGCGCTTGACGGCTTGAGGTGCAGGGTGTAGGGAATTTGGGTTTAGGGAGTTTGGGCTTTAGAGTTGTGTTTCGTGTTTTGGGGTCTGGCTGTAGGGTTTGATGGCGAGGTCCGAGACATCAACCAAGAACATGCGATGAAAGTAAAGGAGACAGGGGGAGACAGCTTGTTCTGCAAAAGAACCTGTATTATACTTAGTAACATCCAGTAACAGACTAGAAAAATCATTCGCATGACTATGATCAGTGTCCTATGTCCCGTGCCAACGTCACTGAACCCTAGGCCCTTAGCTCTAAACCCTAAGCCCAGCATAAAGCCCAAAACCGTGACCTCACGCAGGGGAGAGCCGTCCCGATGTTGTCGCGTTGAGCGCAGTGGCTAGCTCGGTGGAAGGCAGCTTCAGGGTTTAGGGTTTGTAGGTTTAGGGTTTAGGGGTTTGTAGGTTTAGGGTTTAGGAAGCAAGCTTGACGGCACATGCGCGCTGTTAGAAGATGTGGCAGCGCTATAATTCTTGCTACCTTGTTCAGCGATGACTGCCAGTAGGCTACCTGGAGCTACGACCATCAGCATCGTCAGTGATTAGCCTTGCTGTTCGGGAGGGTTCGTTTTGGAGCTGATTCAGCGACAGGCCAGGTTTCTGACCCAGAGATGTCGTCACTTTTGTAAAACCAGTCATAAGATCGACTTTTGGCCCGAATCTAATTTGACGAGATTCTACCCCAAAGTCTTGTTCTGGTTGTTAAGGCCCTTACACTAAGTTCACGGACTCCAAATCCAAGCAAACATGTTTTTTTTTCTGAAGCGCAGGGCTTCAGCATTCTGGCTCCAATCGGGGACGGCGGTGAGCTGTTGTGAGCGCAGATCTTTATTCGACCTTGTTGGCTTTCCTTTTGGCTTTCTGAATTTCTGACTCGGTCTCTCCCTCTCTCCCGCACTCTCTCTCTCTCTCTCTCTCCTTCCCTCTCTTCCTTACCAGAGAGTGCCCGCGCATTTCCCAAGCCGTTCTGCCTTCAAGAAGTCTCCTCGTTACAACGTAGTGCCAGCGCTCCGCCAGTCTCGTCATGGCCACTCGGCCGCCCATGTGGTGCCCTTCTTTTGCCCTGTTTGTGTAGGGGTGAGGAAAAAGGGTGCCTGTGGACTACTTACATTACCATTACTACCATTGCTGGTATCACTAGATTGCCGATTCTTACGAAATTCTTGTGCAGAGCCTAGGCGAAGATTGCCGGGTTTGCAGCGCTCTTCCTTGCATTCGTGACCACAGTGCTCGCCGACCTCGGCGGCACCGTCCTCCGTACCCGCACACCGGCGCCCGAGCCACAGCTTGGCTCCGAACCTCTGGTCGTGCGCCTGCAACGTGTCGAAGGCTTGCACAGCTCGCACTTCTATGTGGGAAGGTTGTCCCTGGGTCAGCCCAGGCCACAAGAGCTCCAGGTGCTCTTCGACACCGCCTCGGGCCACTTGCTCGTTCCACACTCGGCCTGCGCAAGCAAGGCCTGCAACAAGCACAAGCACTACTCGCCCTTCCTTTCCAGCACCGCCATGGATGTCAACACCAACGGCAAGCCCGTGCGGGAGAAGGAGCGTTTGGTGACGGGCAAGGCCGTGAGAGACGCGGTGACTGTGGAGTTTACGCAGGCCGACCTCGGTGAGGGTGCAGCCCAAGCCGTCCTGGTGCATGATGATGTCTGCCTGGGCACAGAGTTCGGCCACCAGGTCTGCACCAACCTCGATATCATGGCTGCAGTCAAGCTGGACGACGAGCTCTTTGAAGCCATGCCATATGATGGTATGCTCGGGTTGAGCATGGCAGGCCTTTCCACGGGAACCGGATGTGTCTTCTTCCAGCGACTCATGGAGTCGAACCCCTCGATGCTGCCACAATTCGGCTTGTCCTTCGGGGCACAGTCCGGAGAGATCTTCTTCGGTGGCCACGACTCTTCCCGGATGGCAGAGGACTTGAAGTGGTTCCCGGTGCTTCATCCGGACGATGGGTTCTGGGAGGTGGCGATCAAGAGTGTCCGCCTGGGAAACCTCACTGTGGATGCCTGCAACCATGGCCGCCGAGGCATCATCGACACCGGATCCTCGCGACTCGGCGTCCAGGAGAACAATTTCCAAGCCCTCCGCGCCGCCTTGTCTCACAGCCAGGCCCTGGTGGGCGGTGGCTGCCAGGGCCCGGACTTGGAGTTCGACCTCGGTGACATGGCCTTGAGGCTCCGGGTGGAAGACTACGCCACGGGCTCCAACTGCGAGCCGCAGTTGGGATCCCTCGAGCTGGATCCCAAGGACTACCATGGGGTTTATGCCTTTGGCGAAACCGTCCCTGGGCCAGAAGTGGGTTTAGGGGGCTTCGGCGCATGTTACTCGATACTACAAGCCAGAATCTGATGAAAGCGGTGCTTTGCCATTATACTGCATTGTGGCATACTGTGATTATGCTGTAATCAGTTCTACAATGCTATACTATCTTGCAATCCGATGATTATTGAGGCTTTCCTGCCTGTTTTCGCTGATGACCCAGGTCCTTCGGAGGTATTACGCGGCCTTCGATTGGCAGGAAAGGCGCATTGGCTTTGCACCTGTGGCACAGCGCCGTGTGCAACTCGGAAAGGCCGCTCCTACGACCGTCTTTACCGTCTAAGGCAGTCCGAAGGAAGGGTAGTGACAAAAAGCATCCAACAACCACATCGGCATAAACTCTTGAGGCCTGCCCCTCTGCAGGACGATTGCCTTGAACAGTTTTTGCTTCGGTGCACTTAGGGTTTTCTATGTCAGGCAGGGCCTGAGTAGGCACCCCAAGCTCTAAGCGTTAAGGGTTGGAAGAGCCGCACTCTGCGGATGAAGGCCTGATGCCTGGTCAACCACGGACTGTGGCTGTGAGCTTTAGGTTTACATCTCCCTTGATATAGAAGCTAGAAATCGCAATAGTAATAATGCTGATAGTGATAGAACTCATGCCGTTTCCTTATCACCCCTATCTCTGTAGTTATACGTAGCATAAGAGACCCCTAAAGCCTATTCCAGTAGTTAAGGCCTTCTTGTTAACCGACCTTCCACGGACTTCCTCGTCCATCTTAGAGCGTTTGCCTGGTCCCCTCGTCCCCGGCTCAAGTCCAATGGGACGCCTTGAGGGCGAAAGTTTCCGGCAAGCTAGAGGCCTTGAAGCACTGCAGAAGATGACTTGCGAAGCCTCCGCAGCATGCTTTCTCGTGCCATCTGACAGCTTGACAGAGCGCCCCGGATGCAGGCAGGAAAAAGTCTTAGAACCTTTGCTTGTCCGAGTCGGTATGACTGGAGGTTCACGAACAAAGCCGTGAATGTAGGAGATGAGAGCTCGGCCGTTTAGGTGGATGCCACTGCCACGAAGAGCCTATCCGCCATTCATCATTCATAGGCAAGGTCTAGGAAGATGTAGGCAGCGGAAGTGTGGACAGGTAAAATTTGATTTAAAGTCCCTGGATAGGCATGAAAAAGAAAACAACAAAAGAATGCGATGGTGATGATGCGTGATATCAAATTGATGTTTCTGGTTTTTGCTGATGAGCATGATGCATATGATGTTCGATGTGGCCGTGGTTCTACTGGCATGCGCTCGAAAAGAAACACAGACAGTCCACTACCCTGTGTAATAGGGCCTTCAATATCATGAGTCATGGTAAATTCCTTATTCACGCGTTATGCATTGAAATCGTAGGGACCCGGATTTCTTCATTCAAGTTATCCAAATGCCGTTGTTTAGGGTCAAAGGGCTTTTCGGCCATCCGATCGCCGATGCCAGGGGCCACGAAATCCCAGCTGCTGGAAAAGCCTCTTCGTTGCTCTACTGGGCTTCTGCAAGATTCTAACCCAAAGCCCTAAACCCTGCTGTAAGGGTTCTTTCGGTGTTCGCAGGGGTCGTTCGAGTGTTGACAGTGGCAAAGCCCGGTCCTAAAGACCCCGGATTGAGGATTGCATATGGGTAGTTCCCTAAATCAGGATGCCTTTAGGGTCCTTTTTTTATAACGGTGCCGTACTATTTTGGGGACCTAAGAAGGGACTTTAATTATCGAGAACTACCCATATATATCTTGCGGCTGGAAACCCATCAGATGAAAGGTTCAAGCATGGCACAAGGCCCTTCGACCTCAGACAGCTTTGTATCTTGCATTGTGCTTCAAGGCATAAATGTTGAAGGTATGGCTTAGGGCTCTTAGGGTTTGAGAATGGTGCAAGTCCAGCTGGAAGAGAGGGTTTAAGCATGGAGTTCGCCCCCAAAACCAGCAAAGCACCGACTAAATCAGCAACATCGGAAGGCACAGCCTCTTCTGCGACCCCTTCAACCTGTCACCTAGGGTTTACAGCTCGGGGTCCGACGGTGGAAGCCTCATTTTTGGGTTTCCGGGGCCCCTTCCGGGGGGTTAGGGTTTAGGGTTCATATCGACAGACTAAGAGCAGAACACACCCAAGTCAAGAGACACGGTGAAACCCTCAGCCTGGGACCCTGAGGCACTCCCCAGCAGCCCAACAATACCGTAATGGTCCTAAATGGCAAGATCAGAACGGTCGCAATGATACGAATGAGGCCCGAACACACCAGGCCGAAGTCCCCGGAAAATGGTTACCAAAGTCACAATCCTTTCGGCCCAGGGCTTAACATCAGAGTTGAGGGTAAATTATGCTGAAGACCTGAGTTCATATCCCTAAACCCTAAACCCCTAGACTCATATCAGGAAGATCGCAAGAGATGTCCACCTCGAATGGGGCTTGAGCCTTAAGCTTTTGGAGTTTGAGTGGCTTGCGGGTCCAGGGCTTCTGGGAGACTGACGGCTCCCCCTGCTTGGTTTTTAAGCAGCACCCGACCTGATCCCTAAACCCAGCCTACCTGTAGGGATTTGTATAATTACTAATATTATTCCAATGGGCTCCTTAAAATATATGTATGTAATATACTCCCAAACCCATTCCAATTATTCAGGCTCCTTTTTTTACCTTGGAAAGGATCGACGAGGCCAGTCTCTCTCTCCTCCTTGCAGAGGAGCAGGCTCCTTGAGTGAGCGGTTTGCAGGGTTGCTGTTTACTAGGTATCGGTTTGGGATAATTGTTCATTACCCTTATTGTTCAATATAGCGCTTCAATTAAAAACAATCTTGGGGGCTGTTGAAGTCGACCCCTATTGAGGGTTCTGGAAATTTCGACTCTAGTGGGGGTTGCGGCCGTAGGCCAAAACAGCTCTGCGCCCAACATCCCCCCCAGAAACATGACTTCTTCCGCACGGCAGTGCTCTCAGCTTCACAGCAACATTGTGGTCGAAGCACCGCATGCGCAGATAAATGACCTCTCCTTCTAAAGAATTGAGGAACCCTAACACATGCCTAGAATAGCTGGATGATGATTCTCAAGACCCCCAAAAAAATAAAGACCGCTACAGACCTTTCTGAGAGCCCCACGTAGATTTGGAGCCGATCGCCTGAACGACAACTCTTTGCCCCACTGGACTGGAGCAGAAGCTTCCTTCGACTTTTTCGGGGTGCCTTTCAAGCTTAGGGTTTAAGGTTTAGGGTTTAGGGTTTCGTAGCGCCACGTCCCTGAGCCTTGATACAGGAGATTGGAGAGTTATGATTACTATAATATAACGAATAGCATGACTAATTATTCGTGAGACCTCGATATTCATTAGCCCCAAACACACGATTAGACTGTGTTATCCCCGCATCGACGACTGGGTTAGGGAATGGGGCGCCAACTCTGCACCCGACACTTCACACCATAAAGCCTTAAGCCTAAACTCTAAAACCGCTGCACCATGGCTCAAGCGTGAATAGAGGCCCGGCTGAACGTTCGCCCATGTTCCATTCGCTCTTAGAAAGGTAGGAGCCTCGGGTTCTGAAAAGTATAAGAAGAAATGGCAAAAGTCAGGACATGATACGTCGCAAGCCAGAGGTAAGGTATGGCTTCAAAAAGGCAAGGGCTCTGGACCGGAAACTCGTCTTTTGACAGGGTCCCCCGGTCTGGTTGATGATCAGCTGAACATCAGTTCGATCCTGTGCCTACAGACCAAAATAGACATAGAGACATCGGATCCCTAACTTGAGCACCCTAAACTCTCGAGCCTTAATTCAAGGAACTCCGGTGCAGCGCGAAGATTAAGACTAAGAGCCCCCGAGCGAGATGCAGCGTCGTTGAGTCTGACCGGCGTCATGGAGGCTCTTCACTTGCTTGAAAAAATCAAGCCCCTTGAGGAGTAGCTAAGATATCCCAAGAACGTTTCGGGTCCAAGAGAGCGGGGCGGAACTGAGGGTTTACTTAGTTCTTTCATACCCAACCTTTACGCTTTTTGGGCTCTTATAGTTTAGGAAAAATCCGAAAGTTTAACCTTTTGTTTTCCTGGCTTATTGGGGAAGTAAGTTTAGGGCCTCAGGGTTCAGGGAAGCCCGCTCCCTCTCTGGTTCCTAAGAACTGGCAGATTCAACCTGGCCGAAACCCCCCAGTTTAATGAGTCAGGCCCGCTACATAACTTAGCGTCTTAGGATTCTGTCTGTACCTATAGGCTACATAGAGTCTTCTGGCTTAAAACCTATTCAGACTATACGGTGGCAGGCCTAGGGTCTGTTTTGGGGCGCAGAAAACCCCTTGAAAGTAAAAACCCTACACCCCGGTCGAGGGTTTAGGGTTTAGGACCTAGGCTACATTTTAAGTGTGTTAAGCCCTGAACCAGTGCCTAAACCCTGAGCATCCCTGTACCCCTGTTGCACAAAAATGCCCCGCAGGAGGCATCCTGCCAGCCTTAACCCGCGCCGCTTTCTCCTGCGCAAGTAGCTGCTATACACCTGCATCCTGGGCCCTAAAACCCGAAGGCTCAAACCCCGAGCCCAACCCCCCCCCAAAAAAAAAAAA